CTTCGTTTTTCTAAACAAAATCCAGTTTATTTCGTATTTTCATTCAAGTGAGAGGCAGTTCTTTACTTTGTGGTGACAACAATATTAACATTTTAATGGTACAGTGGTCATTTTTATTTGATGATATACAGATGTAAGCCTTCAGCATTTTATTTCACTGAAAAGGTTTTGCGGCTATTTTAATTTTTTTTCAATTTTGAGGGTCAAAAGTAATTTTGGGGGGAGGGTATCCAATTTATCCATGATCAGCACCTACTTGATGTATAAAAAAGACAGGTTTCAAAATATTTAGAAAATAGATATACAGTCACAAGTGATGATATATTCTGCACACTTACCACTACTTGGGGTGACTATGGCGACCATTTTGTTTTTTCAGTTTTAAGCGTCACAAAAACATTTTACAGTTTGGAATCCTATTTATTCATGATCAGCACTGTCTTAGAAAGTGAAATTTCCATAATCTGAAAAATAGAGATACAGTCACAGACGAAAATATCGTGCACACCTACCACTATTTGAGGCAATTTGTGGCCATTATGTTTTTTTCAGTTTTGAGGGTCAAAAATTGGGCTGCACAGTATTACCGGTATACCGGTAAACCGCAATACAACATTGTAACAATTACGTATCGCGATACGTTTATGATGTACCGGTATACCGATAAAGATTTATTTGTTCAATTTTAATCCATTCAACACCGCAGGTACGACTTCCGCCCGTATACCCCCTGAATGTTAATGGTGAGGAAAAAGATATATATGTATATTCAGGTAATATGGCTGTTGGTGGGTGGGGATTGGGCGGAAGTCTTTCCAAATGATTGGCAACGGGTCCACTTAAACATTGTCAAAGAGCAAAGTATCCATGTTTCGAGGTAATAATTAAAATTGCATGAACTAATGAATGAAATCTACAGTTTTCATAGAAGTTGTCAAACGTACATCTAAGTTACTATTTCCATATTTTTGAGTGCGATCGTGTTATGCAAGTCAAGTGACATCTCGGCTTTCGTTGCCTCGATTTTCATGCTTGGACACGATTTTTAATGTGAAACAGATCGCATAAGGATTATCTGTCATAGGTCGCTTTCGAACGATACCCGCCATCACACGAATCTTCTCCGATGATAATGAGGCTCTGTATGATGAACTGCAATTTGACATCACCACTAAAGAAGTACGTCAAGCAATTAGAAATCTTAAAAAATAACAAATCGTCTGGACTAGACCAAGTTATAAATGAATATTTCAAATGTACATGTGAACTGATGATTAATGACATTACTAAACTGTTTAATGCAATCTACTCATCTGGTATATATCCAAAGACCTGGACTGATGGAGTTATCATTCCTCTACATAAAAACGCTCATTTAACATCGAACTATCGCGGCATCACAGTTAATAGTGGCTTTACAAAAGTGTTTTCATCTGTATTGAATAACAGACTCATGGTTGATAAATATAACGTCATTTCAGATGCCCAGGGCCGCCTCCGTGGTGTAGTGGTTAGAGCGTCCGCTCGGAGAGCGGAAGGTCGCGGGTTCGATCCCCGGTCGCGTCATACCAAAAGACGTTTAAATATGGTACTTGTTGGTCTCTGTCTGGCGCTCGGCATTTATGGGTACAACAAGGACTGGTCGGCTCGGAGTCAGTATAATGTGTCTGAGTGGGGTATTCATGCTTCACTGTGGCATGGTATCTCAGTGGGCTAGCACTATAAAACCAGCTTCAGTCTGGGCTAGTTCAAGCAGCCGCACATACACATACACACGCATGCACGTCGTAATATGAGCGAAATATTCTCAAGTACGACGTAAAACCCAATTTCACCTCATCTCACCTCAGATGCCCAGTTTGGATTCAAACATGGTTATTGTACCGTGGATGCATTATTTGTACTCCAAGGACTTGTCAGCAGCTAGCTACAAGAAAATGAACGCCTATATTGTTGTTTTGTTGACCTTTCAAAGGCGTTTGATACGGTCTACAGAGATGGCCTGTTGTTTAAATTACATTACTTGGGAATACGTGGTAAAATGTGGACTATTATAAAGGCTATGTATGCCGAGGTTAAAGCTTGTGTTAGATATAAAGGCAATATCTCTGACTACCTCCATGTTACTTTCGGTATAAAACAGGGCGAGGTCATGTCTCCCATATTATTTTCCTTGCTCATGGAAGATCTCGAAATGAAGCTCCAAGAAAACGTCGATAGTGGTCTTTGGATTGAATATGTCAATCTGTTCCTTATATTGTTTGCTGATGACATGATCTTGTTTGCTGAATCGCCGAGTGGATTTCAACACTCTCTGGATAGTTTGCATGAATACTGTAGTGACTGGGCCTACAAGTTAACATTATGAAGGCAAAAGTGATGGTTTTCCGCAAAAGACGAAAATTAAACCAGGATGAGCATTGGTATTTTAATACTATGCCGCTGTGCTGCATAAAGATGCAATCTGAAAACACTTCACGTGAAAAAAAAGAATGCAAAAATTCTGGCATGAATGCAATTATAGTAATTGAAGACAGACAAAAAAAATCATAAACGTTATATATCTTTATTTCAAACATCAGAATCATCGAGACCAGACATTTATTTTCTCATCTTCCAATCAAATGACAAAGTCGTCTTATTCTGATCGTATTTCCGACCCGTGAAAAACCGTGTAAACTAAACAACTCTACTCTGCCATTGCTAGAAGAATCTGAAAATTTACTTAGGTAAATAGGTACATACAGTTTTAGCACACAGCAAATGCTTATATGTATTTCTTATGCAACAATGAAGTTCTGTACATATTCTCAAAACAGTGTCGGCTCGTAAGTTTTCACATGCAATTAAACTTGCATGTAATACAGCAATTAATTCTCCCTGTTGTAACCCGTGTAAGTGGTATAGTGAGTGAGCGAGTTAAAATGTATCGTCACATCGGCAATATTACCGTCATATCGTGACGAGAACAATTAATTGGTATACATAGTAAGTAATAGTAAATTATGAAAAGCTGTCTACGAAGGACAGTAAAATAACTAGATTATCACAGAGGCGAATTTAAAACTAGTAATTAAATCTAAATCAATTTAAATATAGATGACAATACAATATAAAAACGGGATATAGATTGCATACAACTGAAGGTAGATCACCATACTAGGGACGTTAATTGGTATAAACCTACACATGTTATTTGTAATCATTCATTTGATGGTGAGTTAATGAATTTATAACAGGTATAATTAGTGGTAACACCACTTAGATTACCCGACAAAGGTTCCCATTTGGCATTTCTTGTGTCTGGAGTAAATACTCAATATTATAAACATCGATCAAAGGATTAACCGATAACACGCTGATTGACTAATTACTTGTATCTTACGCAGCGGATTTGTCAAAAGGTAGTGTTTATGTATGTAGATTTACTAGTCTAAAGTGAAGACACTCTGTCGTGTCTGTGTCTGAGAAAAAACGACGTCCTTCTTTCAAAGGATTAACCGCCAATACAAGATTGATTGCTCATTATTGGCTAACTAAATTACTTCTGGTTTTTTTTAAAGAAAGGAGGACATTATGCAATTAGTTGCCAGGTGTGCTATCTTGGGTGACCAAGGAGACTATACACCAATGTGAAATACCTGAAACGATATGTCACGTTTTCGTATATTAGACTGTTAGAAGACAAATCACTTGGAACAGCTGCAGATGAATTGCATATCATTCGTTTTTTGTGGATATTGATGGATACATTCCTCGAACAAGGTAATAGCCTGACATTGTTCCTATAACTTTAATCTGTTTTAATTTTAATATTTGCATTTTGTTTTTATTCATTTGTCGTAGCATTCAACAGAATCATTGTTTTCGCCGTGAAGTGTAATGAGACAGACAACATACACTAGGGCGTGTGCGCGAATTATGATTCACATTGGCAAACTATAAAATGTCTAGATATTACAGTCATGTTATAAATTCACTTTAAGTATCAGCAGATCGTCTGCTTTTTATTTAGTTTTATAATGCATACAAGTATGATAATAAACTAATTAAGATTATAAGACCAAATATGAAGACGTACATTGACTAGTATCTACATACTGGTGAGTAGACGTTAACCACGTGAATGTAGCAAGAAATTTATCGCGCAGTATTGTGACTTCGACCCCCACCTCGCTTCTGTGGATGAAATCGTTATGTTTATAAGTTGTGTCATGCAAAATCCTTTTGGTCATGATTCAAATATATATTTAACTACGAGTAGAAAGTAGTTTTGATTTTCTCAAACACACTTGATAGCCCGTGACTTTACGATTTTCAAATATGGCGGCGCCCTGTTGCGAACATCGGCCAGTCTGAGGATAAATGCTATTTAGGTTTGTTTTCACTGAGTTACAAAATCAAAACTACTTTCTACTGGTAGTAAAATATGTATTTGATTGATGGCCAATAGGACTTTGCATGACATAGCTTATAACATAACAATTTCTCTCGCGGAAGCAAGGTGGGTGTCAATATAATACTACTTAGTATTATTGTTACTTCGACCACAACCTCGCTGCCGAGGAAGAAATCGTTATGTTACAAGTTGTGTCATGGAAAATCTTTATGGTCATTAATCATATACATATTTTACTACAACTAGTAAGTAGTTTTGATTCTTTAACTTCCGTGTAGCGATCTGAACACAAGTAAGTTATCGTTTCAGGCTTCCACAACGCTCGCTTCGCACTCACAATCATAGCCCATTTAGCAGAAACTGCGGGGTCATGTGGATATCTGCGCATTGTGACACCATCGCCCGACCCCTAGGAGCAATTGACAACAACGCAACGATTCGGCATGTCTTCGTTGATGTCGAGAAATCATCAAAATGACGAGCTTGCTACACACTTTATATACAACTAACTGAAAATCCTTCCTCATATTACGTCACTGCAGTGCTCTGGCGACAGAGTTACGTAACCTGTCTGTGGTTTCGTTGGCGGGCGAGTGTGAAGCGGGCGACCTTTTGGCAACTTTTAATCGCTCGGTATTGATTAACCACAAGTATTTTAAGAATGAATTTGGTGTTCTGCATAAGACTTACCACAAATCATTCATATGTAATAGTTAACAGAGTACAAAAAAACAGAGTTTATTTGTTCTTTAACAACCCACGATTGTCATAAGAGTGACCAACGGTATCTCATGTGTTAATGATGAATCACTGGATAATTTGGTCCAGAATCAATTATTCATATGGCTGGAATATTGCTGAGCGCTATTGTTAGACAACGAACAAAACATACATTATATTTCGACCTACCACATTATCCATACATCCACATTAACCTTATACCCATGTATACTTTGGTTGCTCTATATATGTAGCAGGGTTATACCTTATCTTCCATTACGAAATACAACAGCACACAAAAATCATATAATTCTCCATTAATTATAAATGTTTCAAAATCAAAGGAAACATATCAAAATGGTTCTAACATATATCCTCTTACATTGTGAAATAATTTTACAGATATTCTTTTTTCTCAATAGCAAATCGTTCCTCGTCAGTTTCAACACCCTCATACTTGGCAATTTCCCCATCTCTCTTGCTCTGGACAAACCATGTCACCAGTTCTTTCCCCAAAGCATCACACAATTCCTCATCTTTTTCCAGTTCGTCTAGAGCTTCACTCAGAGAACGGGGAAGTAATTCATTGTGTTCTATTTTCCCTGGGGGTGGGCACTCCATCTTCTTGATGACTCCATCCAGTCCAGCAGCAATAGTAGATGCAGCCACGAGATATACGTTGCTCTTTGAACTTGGAAGTCTGTTTTCAATGTATGTTCTCAAAGGACCGTCGTTCTTGGCGCGCACACATGCAGTTCGATCTTCTATTCCCCAGTTGACTGACGAAGCGAAAAGAAACTTGCCAATGTTCCTATAACAATTGACGGTAGGGTTTGCGAATGCGCAGAGAGCTTTACTATGCTTAAGGACACCAGCAATAAACTGTTTGGCAATAACAGACAATTTGTCTGCAGCATCAACATCGTAGAATACGTTTTCTCCCGACTTAGTCCAGAGAGAAAAATTGAAATGTTTGGATTGCCCCATTTCCCTGTCTGCAAGATGGGACATGAAGGTGACTGTACAATTGGTCAGATCCGCCATTTCTAGGAGGCCTTCCTGAAGATTGAAGGCCATATCGAGACTCTCGATTCCATACTTTGGTTTTGTTACAGCTTCAAACATCCCATTGGCACATTCAGAATGGTATCTTTCAACGTCAATCTTGGAATCTTGAAAGTTCTTATCAAAGTGAAAAATGATTTTGTAATGTTTGTTCATTAGCTTATGGCTGTATGCGTCAGCACCATAAAAGACTGGCTTCAAGGTTTCATCGAGGATTGTAAATTCAATTTCATGGCCAGAATACAAATCAAACCCAAGATCTTCTAACCTTTGAAATTGTTTCCTTGCAACATACCGAGGACAAGCCAGTTGAGGGGTGTTGTCTTTCATCCACCTTGATTCGCACAACATTTCGACTACTTTCACACCATCTGGGGCCCAAGGAATTGGCCTGAGAGTGTTGGGATCAGGAAAGATATTCATGTTGCCAAGGCAGCGGTTGTTCTCATGGCTTACAATCACTGGATATCCTCTTGGGCCAAGTGCCAAAGTACCTTCAAAGAGATAAAAGTATATTCATGATATTGTACAATACATTTTAGGTGATCATATTTTCATTTCACCTTTGTGTCTTACATGTAGTTTCCTGAGAAAGCGCACCACATTTTATAAGTTATTTAACATTTTTGGTCGGCAAACAACGTCAACGTCAATTTCATATTACTTACCCACAGTGCATTTAGGACTTTACTTTGAAAACACTTAAAATAGATCTCATCGGAAGGGAGAACATCCAACCGTTTTCTTGGTATATCTCAATCTCTGATTCAGATAGCTGACCATCAGAGTTAATGAATACATGACACGTTCTGTATGGATAATAATATCTTTTCTTCTTTATGAGGCGTTTCAGAGCTAATTCTTGCTCCTTCATCAGGTGAACCCACCGTGATCTTGCTGGAATATTGCTAAAAGTGGAGTAAAACCAAACTCACTCACTCATCAGGTGAATGCTGACTCAGTGTACAGAGTGAATATGTTGAGATCAAAACATGTTTCCACAAGGCAAGTCACCAGAACAGCCATAATAGACGTCACTTTCACTTCAGATAGAACACTAAAACACATGTTACATGTCAATGGAAAAGGTCCCACTGAGTCCATCCTAAAGCCTGGAGGATGTGTGTACGAAATTGCATGCAGCTGCGGAGACAAATACATTTGTGAGTGAGTGAGTTAAAATTTATCGTCACATCGGCAATATATCACCCATATCGTGACGAGACCAATGAATTGTTATACATAGTAATTAATGGTAAACTATAAAAACCTGTCAACGAAAGACAGTACAATAACTTGAAGACATGCCTGGCCGTGATTCTTTCATCACAAGGGATGAAAAACGGAGAATGCTCACCTTTCAATACGTATTCATGGGTATATCTTGTGTTGCCAATACAACATCATCGCATGATGACCACTTTAAATCTAGACTGACAACCCAAGTAAGTATAACCAATATAAGGTTTTATGTAATTTAGTTATACCTACTTGGGTGTCCCACTTCTTCTGCATCAGATCACGGATGTAAGATCTAATGGTAGCTTTATAATCAGTGTATGGAATAAGAAGTGGTGTCACAGATTTGATGAGTGCTGTCTTGGCAGCAAAATCTACCATTGTGTGCCTAGAAATGCAAGCGTGCCTGGGTAACCAACAGAGGGCGATGACATATTGGCCAGCAGCAAGATCATTATATACTCAGTCAAATTAAAAACTTCACACCAATAAATTTGTAAAGAATGAATTGAAATTTGTTAACTCACAGTTATTAACTCACTGACAACTGCTGTGAAAATAGAACTGTTATCTGGTATTCTAGAAGATATTGTTCTGGATCCAACGACAGTGGCACAAGCTACTGTGCCACCATCCTAAGGATTTATATGTATTATATTTATTTCTTAATTGACTTGTTCTTGTTTACACTGTAATTCATAAGTTTCTGATTTTTTTAATGTGGTTAATGATAGGTCAACGTGTGGCCGAAACAATTGCCAAGGAGGCAAAGAAAGAAGACGGGAAAGAGATATATTTTCCAGCTCAATGCCGGCAGTAGAAATGAATGGTTTAATTCTGAGCCAAAGAGGTGGAACAAGGGAAGATTTCTTATTGTATAAATCCTCATAGAGAGGATTGCAGACACAGTTATATGCAGGATTAGACTCGTTAGAATATGCAATACATTACAAAACCATATCAGGCCTACCAAAGAAAACTTCCCCACAGAAAAGCCGACATTAATCGTGGTAATAGCAACATAAACATACTAACTCGCTACTGAAGCAGTAAAAACGGCAATGAAGACTGAAACTGCAACAGTTTTGTATCACGCGCTTCTTTCGATCTGCGCTTCTTTCAAATTTCCGAGCAACTTTGAATTGTCTCGCGTAGAAAAAGTATTGAATATGTCGAAATAATTGCTGTCAATAATTTTATACGAATGGAAATTAAACTAAACAAGTGTACAAACAAGCACGATGATGATGAATGCCAAATAACACAAGAGAGATACTTTAAAAAGGGAATGTAACTTTTGTCCAAGCTTGAAAATGTCAACTTTCGGTCGAGACTTTCCTCGCATGCGCAAAATCAAAGTTGCAGGCTCTTCGTTTTCTGATCCAGTTTTAGCCATTTAAAGTTGTCGTTTTTACTTTTTCAGTAGCGAGGTATTATGTTTATGTTGCTATTTCCACGATTAATGTTGGCTTTTCTGTGTTTTTCTGCACAGTGGGAAAGTTCTTTTTGGTTGGCCTGATATAGTTTTGTAATATATTGTAAATACGGCGTTGTGTAAGAGATGGCTCATCTGCCTCGACGCAGAGACTGTCAACAGGAGGAGTTCGAAAATATCCAAGACAAAGTCTTAGACCCTGGTGGTGGATTTAATCTAATAGTTTTAGATTGCTTTTGCAGGCTCCACCAAAGATGGTCGAGTTTTGAACGGATCAGTGCTCTATACAGTTGGTGGAGGCTCTTCTGATGTCCTCCCCACTTTGAGTTAGAAACAACTTTCAATATATCTAGTGCTTACACGCATTTATTTTTCAAATATTTTATATGTTGCTGAAAGGTCAAGTGTTGATAAAAAATCAGACCTAGGAACTTGGCCTCTTTCACAATTTTAATTGGTGTACCGTCCAAAAGTTATTCTGAATCCTTGTGTGGTTTATATTTTCGTCAAAAGTGGATACAGTTCATTCTTAATTTTGAAATTTTAAAACCGTTTTCTAAACGCCATTCAGTAATTCTGTTCAAACACATTTGCAATTGCCTTTCAATAGTATGCCTGCTTTTGTCATGACAGGAAATATTAAAATCATCCACAAATAACGACCCATCAATTGAATCGCTTACACTTTTGATAAATTATCAATCTTTTTACTTAACAATGTGACAGACAAAATGATTACACAGGGTAGAACCCACGCGGACTTGAAAAAAACTTGGATATAAATTGAGGCAAACGGCCTCGTAATCCAAAGTCATGTAAAACTTGTTTAAATGCCGTACTTCCATCTAGTGTCGTATCCTTTTTCTAAATAAAAAACGATGGACACAGCATGTTGTTTATTAATTGCAGCGTTCTGACAAATATTCTTCTGTTTTTACGAAAACCACATTGAATGTCAGTTATTTGGTTATTGGTTTCTAAGTACCACACTAGAGGATTGTTGATCATGCGTTCCATGGTTTTGCAAACGCAGATAGTTAGTGAAATAGGTCAATAATTTGACGGATCTATATGGTCACGTCCAGGTTTAGGTATTGGTACTATTATAGCGTCACGCCATGAGGAGGGAAATTTCCCGACGTCCATATATCATCAAAAATATATAAAAGTGTCTCTAGACAGGAGTCTGCTAAGTGCCTCAGGAGTTGATAATGTATGTTATCAGCTCCTCCAGCAGTATCGTGATCTTGGTCAAAAGCGGTATGGAGCCTAAGAATAGAAAATATTTCGTTATAATCTTCACCCATTATCTGAACTGAAATTGATAGTTTTCTTTTCTTGCTCATGTTGATGCTTTTGGAATTAAGGTACATAATTAGACGAGGAAGAGTGTTTAGCAAGAGTTCCACGGAGTTTATTTGCAATATCTGATTTATCTGTCAGTAATTGATCTCCGTGCTTAAGATGATGGACGCTAGATTTAGTACCTTTACATTTAATTTTCTGGATCATGTTCCATACCGTACGAGAATTTATTTTTGAAACATAATTTTACCAAAATTGGCGTTTATTTTGTTTAAGAGTACGCCGGGCTTTAACATTTAAAATTTTAAACTTATTTAAATTATGGATCAGTGGATGGCGACGGAAATATTATTCAGTTTTCTTCCGTGCCTTCCCAGCTTGTTTTTAGTTAGCATTAAACCATGGTTTACGTATGTGTGGATTTGAAGAGGACTTCGGAATACATTCATCAGCTATTTTGTGAAGTTCGTTAAGGAAAGTTTTATAGGGTCGGGAACAACAAGAAAAATATCAGGTGTTAGTTTATTAGAACAACGAATTTCATATAAAGGCCAGTTTATTTTTGGCAAAGTTCAATCGTGATGATGGTGGGATATCAGATGGTGTAACAGATTTTAATATGGTAGGTATGGTCACTTCCACATAGGTCATCATGAACAGAACATTCAAAGTCACTCAATAAATCAGAATCAACAATGGATAAATCCGGACAAGAGTATGTTCCCGTTCCTGGATGAAGATATGTATGCGAATCATCATTAAAGATGCATAAATCGTTGCTCAAGAAAAGAACAAAATCTGAGAACAATATTTCACGTTACACCAACTACAACAGCCTGGAGAGGGGTATTGAGAGGAACAGGACTATGAATGATGCATGCCTCACAGAAAGAGAAGACCCTCCAGTGGCTTTATTACCCGGGGGAGAAAAGCGGTGATATGAGTCGCACCGTCTGAAATCAAAATCAGTGGTTTTGAGGAACGTTTTTTGTAAACAAAGAGCAGATGGGTTTAAATCTTGAAATAATAGCTGAAGATCAGAAAAATTGTTGCGAAGACCTTTACAATTCCATTGTATTAACGTGTCAGCACAGCTCATGGGGGCTGAACTTGAGATCGTGAGCCGGTAAGTCCTTTACGCTGAATGGCAGCGATGGACTGACCTCCATATCTAGAGGTTCAAAGATATTAGGAACCTCCAGACGAACGGTTAATGGTAAAGGCACCTGAAAATGTTTGAGGCCCTTTGATTCCTTTTTCTTGAGTTTTTGTCTTTCCTTCTTTGTGAGTCATACATTTGGTTCACATCAGTAACAGGTTCAGGTTGACTGTCAGGTTAAGACATGGTTGTTTCCTGTATAGTTTTAGCAGACAGGGTAGTTTGTTGAAATGATGTGGATTGAGAAGAAGTGGCTCCAGCATCTATTTAAAAAAGAATGGTCTGTACATCAGATACCCAATTAATTGCTGTGTGTCAACTTTTGAAATTGAGGAGGAAACTGCAGCAGAGTAAGAAACTGTAGAAGTGGACGAGGATGACTCCTTTTCTACCAATTTCTTTGCCTCAACAAGAGAAATGTCTTTAGAATATTTGATGGTTAGAATTTAATTTTGTTTTACAAAGCACGGGCATGATTTTGTAGAGGACATGTGGTCGCCGTTGCAGTTTGACTGTCATGTTTCTCACTGCAGCCGGGGCAAACGTGTGAGTTACGGCAGGACTTAGCCCCGTGTCCAAACTGTTAACATCTAAAACATCGGAGAGGATTGGGTATATATACATCAACTCCGATGTTGAAATATCTGGCTTTGATGGATGATGGGATCTTCGAGAGTGCAGACGTAAAAAGGTAAGTGTTGGTTTTGATAATTCTGTCACCTTTTCTAGTGAACCCTTATCACATAAGTTACACCCTGACTCTTCTGCAATTTCCTCCTATGACATGTCTGAGAGGCACTTTGCACGGTCGCGAACAATGCCTCTGCACAATTTTAAGGTTTGTGTGCTGAAACAACAATCTCAGTATTTGCAAAATGCTTGGCTTGCAGCAAAATTAGAGACTGTTGTCTTCATGCACGTTCCCCTAGCAAGGAACCGGAGCAGAGATGAGTAACATTCTTTAAGTTTCCACATATGCCTTCACTTGATTTGGAAATGACAAAAGGGCTCACTTTTTAGGGTTTCACAATCAACACCTGTTACGACTAGAAATCGTGGCCAATAATCGGAATTGTGTACAGATTCACAGATATAGTTTTAGATCGAGAACCAGTTAATTGTTGGGTAGCCATAATGCAAAAGGGTTAATTCTACATCTCTGCTCCTCACCCGTCATCGAGTGTCACCAAGGCTACAGGGAGCTCTCAGCATTACCCAGCACCCACCACGAAAAGGTGGCTCTTCACAGGTGCCTAGATTGGAGAGACATCTTGCCACAAAAATCTGACATGAAATCTGCCCTTTGGGAATACCTTCTCAAAACTCCCGACCACAATATTTCCTGGCAACAAACCAAGATTCTACATTCCAACATTAACCACTGGAAAAAGAGGAAACTTCAAGAAAGCATCAAGATCCAAAGGAAGAGGCCAGCCATTAGCCAAGACCAAGGCATTTACCTTCCCGGTGTACACTGTATTGTTCTATAATCGCCGGCTTTGTCTTACATTCTAATACCTTTAATATTATTGGCTTCATCCTTACATTGTTATTTTTATGAGGTGAGGTGAAATTGGGTTTATCGTCGTGCTTGAGAATATTTTGCTCATATGACGACGTGCATGCGTGTGTGTGTGTATGTGCGGCTGCTGGGACTAGCCCAGACTGAAGCTGGTTTTATAGTGCTAGCCCATTGAGATACCATGCCACAGTGAAGCATGAATACCCCATCCACTCAGACACATTATACTGACTCCGAGCCTTGTAGTACCCATAATCCCGACCGCCAGACAGGGACCAACAAGTACCATATTTTAACGTCTTTTGGTATGACGCGGTCGGGGATCGAACCCGCGACCTTCCGCGCTCCGGCAGACACTCTAACCACTACACCACGGAGTCGGTCCTTTTTATCTTTGTACATTAATCCTATCGAACTGACTTCATGTTATCTGGCGTTGTGTAAACATGTTTTAATCTCTATATATTCACTCTGTGCCTTGACATAGCATTCTCCCGACGAAGGAGCAGGAATTAGCTCTGAAACGTCGTATAAAAACGTGTCATGTATTCGTGTTCGTCCAATTTCTAAATGCCTTCCAAAAACTTCATCAGAGATAATATTGGTCAGTGAACAATATCAACATCAACTTCATAGTACATTCCTCGTACAAAGTGAGTGCATTTATATCCATGTAAGCCCTTTACATTGAAAACACGTAAAATATATCTCCTATATTTTCATGGACATATCATCGGAGGGAGCACATCCAACCGTTTTCTTGGTATACCTCAATCTCTCAGACAGCTGACCACCAAAGATAATATTGCTCAGTCATATCCGTGAAGGTCCGGGTTGGAATTGATCTTCAGTAACCAATGCTTGTCGTAAGAGGCGACTAACGGGGTCGGGTGGCCAGGTTCGCAGGCTTGGTTGACTCATGTCATCGGTTCCCTATTGCGCAGATCGATACTCATGCTGTTGATCACTGGATTGTCTGGACCAAAAGCGATTATTTACAGACCGCAGCCATATAGCTGGAATATTGCTGAGTGCGGCGTAAAACTAAACCCACTCACTCAGCGAACAACATCAACGTCAGCTTCATATTACTTACCCTCAAACAAAGTCAGCCCCTTTTCGAGATACTTTGCAGCATGACAGCCTCTGATGACCTGGCCACAACTCATTCCATTTAAATCGCAAAGAGCAAGTCGGACATAATCGTATTTCACCAGCTCTTTCTTGAGTATTTCCATTTTCGACATTGTCACTGCACTTGGGCTCTGAAAGCATTATGATGCTCGCCGCAAAGGTATTTATAATGTTGAGGAAAATATTTTCCTTACGCCATGGATATCAACTTTAAATGTAAAAATAAGGGATGTGGAAAAATAATATAGGTGGGCTAGTGCATAATTAAAACTGAACATGCTTTGGTTACATCGATCAAAGCATTTACACCTCTGTGCTTTCACATAATGACTGCATGCATCGAAGTGTAAATGATATGATGTTTGTGCATAAATATTGCGACATCTAAACTAATACGTGATGTAACGATTAAGGCAAGGACTGAAGATCCTGGTTTAATGGGTACAATGTGTGAAACCCATTTCTGGTGTCTCCGGCCATAATCTTGCTGGAATATTGCTAAAAGCAGCATACATCTGAACTCACTCCCCACTCTAAAACAACGGGATAGAATTAGGGATTTTTTCAGTAAAAGTGACAAAACCATTACAACATCAACAGGAAATCTCTGGTAAACGCAGAGGCGAATGTACAATTCTGACTATATCATGAGTATTTAAACAAGTGCTCACAGGAAAATATACAGTATGTTTGACTAAACTTGAAAAGAAAAGAAAAGCATATATGAATGAACATTTGTTTCATTTCATTATAGTATTCAATTCAACAGCAAATGTACACAATTTGATTTCATACCAAATCGAAAGTAGCAACATGAAGTTAGAAACGGATTTGGGATTTGGGATTCGAATCCCGAATCCGAATTATCTTTTCACATTCGAGATTCCAATCCCGCATCTGATTTTTTTCCATATTCGGGATTCGAATCCCGAATTTGAATTTTTTTTCATATTCGGGGTTTTCTTTTGTATATTCGGCACTCGGCATTGGGCATTCGGTATTTGGTATTTCAACTCTTAATATGCATTTCTTCAACACATCTGGAATTCGGAACTTCAGTATCCCTGTAACTATACCCTTTGCACCTTCATCTGTCAAACCTATCTCTACTCGACGTTGCCGTGCAGATAGTCAACAGTTGGTCTCTTTCAATCGGGTTACACAATTGGCAATCATAGTCTATATGAACATTCGAAATTCGGTCGAAAAGTACCTGATGTGTGAGGTGCAAGTGACTGAAGTGTAGTTTAGGGCCAGAAATCGTGAAAAGAACTAAAAACACACACCCAGAAACACGTTTCTGACACGAGGGCGGATCTCTTGAACACAGCCGAGGTCACCAGGTCATGTCTCTTTCAAGTAGTTCAGGAGAAGAAATAGTTCCCTCTTTACCATGCTGTAGCTCCGTTGTTCTAAGGTCCATAAAACATTTCCAAAAGCTTAAATCCAATATGGCTGCCATACGGTGCCTTGAAGCTACATGGATACTCCCCTTGAAATTGTACGGATTCTTATTCCGGATCTGTACCAGAAATTACAAAATCTTTGGACCGGTAGTTTTGAAGATTAATGGTCTGGAAATTGTCCTTGAGTCAAGGGACTGGAGATTTTTCTGGTAACAACTTCAGGACCAGGGACACCTTGATGAATTTTTGGAAACGATTCTAAATACTGTTTTTTGAGTAATAATAAAAATGATGAGAAGTTTTCTGAGAAGCCATTGCATCGTGTGTACATGCTGTGTGTGGAACAGAATAGCAATCCAACCGTCTCTTTCGCCTGGATGAAATCGGCAGGTCTTAAATGTGAAACTGGGAGCTTTCTTTCTTGTCACTTCCCACCCTCAATTGCCAAAATGCGATTCTAAAAGAAAATGTTTGCATGAAATGTCGATTGTGCAATGAATTTACAGAGACTGTCCAACACCTTGTCAAAGGATGCCCTTCCCTGGCACAAACAGCATATCATAAATGACATGATGGCATGGCTCGTTGCTTTTACTACCGTTCTCCGCCATGCCTATGATGTTGAAAACCGAGGTCCATCCATGGTACGACCCTCAACATGTCCAGGGCGTCATGGACAATGATGCTTTCAAACGTATTTGGAATAGGCCGATACATTCGGGTTTCGGGATTTGAATCCCAAATCTGAATGTGGTATTTTTAATATTTGGGATTCGAATCCCCAATCTCGAATCTGATTTTTTTTTCATATTCAGTACTTTTGCAGATTCCACGCTCGGCATTCAGTATTCGGTATTCAGTATTTGAACTCTTGGTATGCATTTCTTTTACACATTTGACATTCTTAACTTCAGCGTCCTTGTAGCTATCCTCTTGGCACCTCCATCTGTTCTTGGCGTTGCCGTGCACCCTCGAACGGTCCTGAAGCACTTCCCACTTGCACCTCACACATCAGGTACTTTTCGACCAAATTTTGAATGTCCATATAGACTATCATTGCCAATTGTATAATCCGATTGAAAGAGACCTTAGAAACTTGCCTTATGTCAACACAAACTTGATTTAACAGAACTGGCGTAAACGGGTTTTTTACGGTGCTGTTGTGGGAATTGTGAAATTCACTGTATCGACGGTGATGTGTTGAGATATACAAGAGTTGTGATGACACCTGGTGAATCCGGACTGTTCTGTGAAGAGTATACCAGTCTACCATTCTAATGAACCAATGCAGGCAATGGGGTAGCCTAGTGGTTAAAGCGTTCGCTCGTCATGCTGAAGGCCCGGGTTCGAATCCTGACATTGGCACCATGTGTGAAGCCCATTTCTGGTGTTCCCCGTCACTCACTCTGAACCAGTGATGCTGTGTACACTGAGCTAGGCGTGCCTTACGGTGACATGGAAGCAAAGTAAGCCACATTGCTGAATGTCGGAGCCAGATGTGATGCTCCCTTAGCTGCCACCCAATGATCTCAAACAAGAAAATGTTTGTTAATATGGTTGCTTGGTATTGTTTCTGTAGGTGAATATGGTTGTCCTAATAACCTGACGTCGCTCATAGATGGACAGCTCGTGGCAAGCCACGAGTGTTGTGTTGCTGTAGATAACTTCTCAAATGCGATACTATTGTGTTTAAAAGATAAATAAAATGTCTTGCAACACGTTTACGTGCGCACTGTAAATAGTAACCTTGAAGTTGAGGAGATGTCTTTAAAAATGTGTATTGAAAGATTCATTATTAAATTTCTGAAAATATTTATTCAGTGAAGCAGAGTTATTTCTGTAGTTTATATATAATGACATTGCATGGAGAATCTGCCACACTGTGCCAAGACGACATTGTTATTTGTATAATTGTGAACTTTCAGAAACGTTTTGCAGAATCTTAATTGTACCTTGTGTACGTTTGCAACCGACTTTGTTCGTGCACGAGTTGGATGTACACGGTTAAATATTGATACTGGGAGACATAAGAAAATTGCAAAGTCTGATGTATATATTGTAATTTAAACAACGTCGAAGATCTGTAACATTTCACCCTCATATGTCCATCCTTAAAGAACATTCGAAAAAAATATATACCAATTAAATATTTAAATCGCCCTTCAGTACAACACTTTGTTCAAACTATCAAGATTTAAGATCTTTAATGTTATATTTCAAATATGCATTCAAGAGTAGAAATTAAATGTGAATCTTTTGTTTAATTAATCATATACTGTATCATGTATACTTCATGTATAAGGGCCTATTTGATTGATTGAATTGCACACTCTCATTAATACAATAATTCATTAATACACTAATAAGTGGTTTCCTGTTTCTCAGATCCATGGCACAAGGTAGGTGTGATCATAGCTATAAAAATATTAAATTATTCTAACGACCATTGTTTCCGAAATGTTTCTAGTAGTCGTTGATTGAGAATGCTGTTTTTCTCGCTTGTGCAGCTAAACATATTTGAGCCGTTGTTTATGATAATTAAGGTGGAAACAGCAATACAAAGACATCTCTTTTGTGTTGACAACGTCTATTTCTTTTGTTACATAGTTACAGATTTGTTGACATTTACGCTTACAGCAGTAACTGATCAAAAAACGTTCCAACGACACAGATGAGGAATCATCAACAAATATGTTTGAAGACATATTGGACATATGATTAGATACAAAAAACAATCCCACCTCCAATAATGTAGCAGCTGGCTGAATACAATGCTTGGAACCTTGGAGGGTTCCATGATTTCATTTCAAGTACAGTAACGTATCTACAGTATCTAAGTTTGATCAATGATCAATGGTACATCTCTTTCCCCACAAGGCTGTATGACAAAAGGGATTATTCCAACAGTCAACTTTCCTTTCATGCCGGGCAATATTCCGACAGCTCCAGCCTTTGGTGTTTACATTTACAACTATTAATGTGCAATCGACCTTTCTGTTTCATCAACATTTCAAGAAGCGTCATACTACTCTTTCTCAGAAATTGTTACAATGTTACAACATTCAAGGCCACAAAATATTGTATGGTAGACATTTCCAGATTTTATGCATCAGTTGACGTCCGATGCAGTTCCCTAATTTGACTTGAACCATACGTTCCCAAATTATTTCAGCTGAATACTTGACTTCACTTGCATATATTTATGAAGTGTGCAGGATCTGAGTATAAGTATAAACTGACGCTAGTTTTTCCAACCAAGAATAGACAGCCTGGCTAGCAGTTATGCTCAAACATTATCTATTATAATATGTGAGTGAGTGAGTTAATATTTAACGTCACATCGGCAATATCTCAGCCATATCGTGACGAGAACATATGAAAACATTTTGAAGATTAAAACCTGTCGACGATAGCCAGTAAAAATACTAGAAAATCACAGATATGAATATAAAACTAGCGAGCAAAGCTAAAACATTCCAATTAAAGCAGACAATACAATATAAAACACGGGCTATAGATCGCTAACAACTGAAGGTAGATCGCCATACCAGGAACCATGGGGACTTACATTACTTTTTGCTACCTGCATGGAACCTAGCTGGATTTACACCATCCTTTCAGCCGCTGGCGATTGTAGGATAATTTAGCCAAAATTTAAAAGAACAAAACTACTACGTTTAAAAACTTGGTACGAGAAAGTTTCACTTTGAAAGTTTTGGGAACTTACATACCCCCTCAGG